GGAGTAACAAAGAAAGAAGAAGTGAACCAAGACTGATTATGTGATTATTTTTTGCTTGTTTCCCCTTTGCATGAGTGGGTGAGCATCAGGTGGAAAGGACAGTCTTTGGGAGTTGGTAATGGAAAGATTCTTCCATTGACTGGCTTGACAATGTTTGTCTGTGGATACAAACAGTATCCACATGGATCCATGGCAAGCAGAGGACACAGAGGGAGAGAAGTGATAGTAAAGCTACACCCAGCCCTCTAGCAGCAGCATTCAGATGTGGAAATTGTTCCCTGTGTAGATAGGACCCAGAGTTGTCTCTGTAGTTTTGTTTGGCTCTTCTTAGATTTTCCTTCTGTCAGGAGGAACTGGGTGAGAAGGGCAGGGAGAGGGGGCTTTGTACCATTCTTTCACTTCAGTGTAGAGAACAGAGACCAGAAGGTGTGGTGAGAAGCCTTTTAAAGTGGTCGTAGATGTGTGAGGTCTGATTCTGTTTTCAAAAATGTATTTGTTAGATGTAAGTGCATGGGAGGTCATTAGAGTTGTGCTGCCTTTCAGGGGGTGAGGCAGGAGGGAGCTGGGCTGTGGGAGCATTGCTGCCAGGAGCGAGACCCACAGTGTGATCAGCAGGCTCCTGCAGCGGGGACCAGGGGAAAAAGGCTGGATTTCCCTCTCCTCAGCTGAAGGCATTGCTGGCCACAGCCAAGTGCTTATGTTTAAAATCACACCAGCTTGTGATCGTGCCAGGAGTTACTCTGGAAATGAGCATGGCTAGCTGGCAGGGTTTTAAAAAGAGAAGTGCCTGTCTTCGGTGGTCACCCAACATCTTGTTATTTACTGGATCTAAAAATGAACTGTGTTTTCCCAGAGCAGAGAATACAGCTTGTAGGAAAAGGCAGGTATTTCCAAATTGCTTTCCATGTGATAGGTACCTCTGGTTCATCTAACAACCCTTGGTACTCCTCTAATCCTTCTCAAATCCTTGCTTCAGTACCTTCCATGGATGGGGAATGGGGGCTTGCCATGTACTTTCTTTTCAATAAGGAAAAAAAATTAGTTCTCATATATATAGTTATTTCTGAAGGAGAGACAGATGTATCAGACTGCGTGATAATTTTCTGAGTTTATGGGAATAGATATTCTCTCAGAAAAAAAGAAACAGTCTTGATATTCACCCTGCACAGACACAATGTGTTTCCAATAACAGTGCTACTCATTGATACCAAGATTCTTATTGCATCTGAACTAATCCACAACATGTCTGTGATGGGTCACAAGTGAAGATATAAAGGCACAGATATGAAAGGAGAGATGTGATAGGGTCTCAATTTAAGGTTTGCCATGGGCTGCATGTGACATTCTTGTAAGTAAACTGACAGTGTCCAGGTTTATAATAGCTAAACTCCTCAGTTTCCTTTATGTAAACATTTCACTCTAATGGAACATTATACCCAGGACCATGTCTCAGCAGACATACATGTATATGAATTGCATAAAGATAGAGCAATAGATAAATAGATATCTGGATTTAATAAACACTCACATTCTAACACTAATAGGCTGGTGAAATCTTACAGAGAGGGAGAGAGAAACTGAAAGAAAATACAAAATACTGCCGAGTACAGGCTGACACAACTGGAAGCACTCAGCATCAAAAGAATGAGGAGAAGGAAAGGCCAAGATGGATCAGGTATATTCTATGCTTATTAGTGCTTTCCCATCTTGTAGCAAGGGATGGTGAACAAGCCAGTGGGGTGGGTGCTTGCTAATTCTTCAGAGGGGAAATCATCCTCATCCAAATCAAAGAGTTTCATTTATGAACTGTGGAAGATTCAGACACATTTTTCCAAAGCCAGAGGACCTCTAGGAGTTTGTATTCCTTGAAAGTCAGGTAAGTACCTTTCAAAATTTTACTTTGACTTCTCTTGGAAGCAAGAATGTTTTTTCCAGTAGGGACTGATTTCTTCAGATCGACTCTTTTCCTGTATACATTTCTTCACATTTTCCCTGTTGTCTTTCACCAAAAAAGAAGAGGGGGAAAAAATGACAAACTCTATTCCCTCCCAGACAAATCTCTCTTCCAATTCTTGGTCTGGGAACCAAAATCCTGTAACAATGGCAGCTCTCTACTGAACTTGTTGAAACTGTGGCACTTGACAAGATATGGTCCTTATGGCCAGCAAGGAGGATTCTGCATCCTAGAACCTGTGTGGGAGGGCTCAAATAATCCCCTTCAGTTATTTCCCATGGCTTCAGAATTCAAGGTAACTAGGTGAGAAGACGGAAGAACTTTATGACAGTAAATGAGTAGCAAATCAAATAAAAAAAAAAAGGAGAGAAAAAGAATTTCTAATTTCCAGCTTGCCATTAGGGTTTGTCTTTTAAATGAGCATTGCCTGTTACCCAAGTAAGGTCAATGCAACTATTGCCCCAGCCCAGACACCCTTTCCCCCCTGTTTTCACAGTGCTTGGGTTTATTTTACTTCCCTCTGCTTGGCTCCATGCCATTTCTTTGGCTAACATTCACCTTGGCTGCATATACCAGGGAAGGGCTGCTCCCTGCTCTCTCCATGGTGTTCCCAGTGAAGCACACTCTTCCCAATAGCTCGAGCCGTTCATTCCTCCTGCCACCTGTGATTTGGTGAGCCAGCAGCTTCAGAAACAAACCCTCTTTTTAGCTGGCTTTAGTGTTCTGAGCTAGACCAAAGAATATATTTGTGACCTGTGCAAAGAGGAAGCAGTAAAACAAGGGGGCTGCCCAGGGCAGGGAGGTGGAGAGCAGCACCAGCAGAGCCCCCACACGTGCGCGGGCACCGCGTACTCTCCCACCAGGGATCTGGCAATCTTGCATGCATGAATTGCCTTGCAACGGCCACTCGGCTGTCATTCTGTCAGGCCCATTTACAAATCGCATAACAGGTTTAATTTTGAAATCTCTCTCTTCTCCCCCTCCCCTCCTTATTTTTTGCTGAAATGGATTTACAATGAAAGTATTTGAAAAGGAATAATTATTTGTATGAGCAAGAGCAGCACAATGCCTGCAGCGGCAGGGTGGGCTACCATCACAGGAAATGAGCTCTAAGTCTGAAATCTGCTTTTATACGTGTGTACATACTTAAAAAGAGCCAGGTATTTGCAAATACCTATAAAATATTTGATGGATATGGATACAACATGATTTTTAAATTCTTTGGGTATAGATCAGACAGGCAAAGTGTGATTCCCGCTTTTTACTTTTTTGTTGTGCTAAATGCTACATTTTAAAATAAGTCTCCAACCATACCACTGTGTGCATTTTATATCTGAAGTGAAATTCATTAAGAAATTGGTTACCAAAACCTTAGAAGTGCTTTCCAAAGCATTTCAGCCCAATTTATATTTTTAAAAGGGCAGCAGCTCACACTTTCAAAGTGCTGGAGAGCCTGTTTTATGCAGTAGTGGACACGAAGCTGAAGCTTTTTCTATAGTCTCTGTCCATTTCTCTCAGTGAATTGAATCCAGTCAAAGGTCAAACTGGCCAGAGGCACTTTTATTGTCATGGTAACCATGACTTAATCAAACAATCCTGAGATTCCAGGTTTGTGGGAACAGGCAAAGATCTGAAGAGACTGGAATGAATCAATCAAAGGGGGCAGGGAAGAAAATCCTAAGATATATGACTTATCCTTCCAAATCTATTACTCTGTCCTTAAACACACAAGAATTATGCCTCGGACAAAGCCTCTTTTCAGACCAAATACCTCTGATTTTTGTTTTCTTGTCCTTTGCATCAAATTTCCTAACATACCTCTGTCCTACAGCAATCAAACTCAGCCCAGATTTAACTAACAAAAGGAAAAGAGGGGAAACAAGAATTTAGGAATGATGAAGGTTATTTTGTAAAGACCTACTTTAAAAAAAAAAAGAAAAAAAAAAAAAAGAGGAAAACCGAGGCAAAATACGATCAATCCCCTTTGATTTGAAAACCTATTAAGACTTGTTAGCAGTGATCTAATGAAACTCTACAGGCAGTTAATGCATTTTTAAGGTTTTCCTCCTTTCTGGGCAGCTTCTGTGTCTTCTTGAGATGCCAAGGCTGTGGGGCTTGCTTGTGTCCCAAGCACTGGAGCATCCAGGGGTGCCAAGTTCAGTCAGCCTCTGCTCTTTGCTGAGAGCCTGGTGACTCCAGAGGCATCTGGAGAGTGCTGGGGGCTGGTTAACCTGGGGCTTGGCTGGGGCTAAGGCTGCTTTAAGTCTGTATGTTTTTAAAAACATCTTTGTTTTTATTCCAGAAGCAATTTATGTTTGTCTTAACTCCTGAATGTGCTTGTGAGTCCTGGCTGCATTTCTTGGTTGGAGGAAGAGGCAGACATGTGGCCTCTGCTGCACCACCACAATAATGGGGGAATGTCCTGTGGGTTTTTGGAACCTGACTGCAATCTATGTCCACATGCCATTAAGCCCCTCCCAATAATTCCTGCTTTGGTTCCTAATACAGTTAAGCTCTTGATATGGCTTTCTCTGCCCTGAGAAGTCATAAATAGTAAAATCATGGAGGTATGAGAGGAGTAGGAAACACTTCGCTGAAGTGTTGGTGGCAGTACATTTAACTTGTTATACCTGGTTTAGTGGAAATATCATATGTTCTTTTCCAGTGCTGGAGAAGAATAAGCCAAGAACCTGAAGTATATTTGCTCTTGGAGATTTTTCTGAAATTTGGTGTGTGGGGTTGGCTGTGCAGAGTGTGTGCTCAATTACACACTTTGTGATACACAGTAATGGAAACATGGGGAAGCTGTTGTCATACTGGAAAACTGCTTTTGTGATGTCACACAGAGATGTTCACCTCCCCAGCCTGCCCTCACATGCAAAGCAGGCTATTTTCTCGAGGAGATTGCTGCTGAAATTCTGGTGTATTCATGTTATTTAAGGAATGCAGGTCATGACTTGCAAACCCCAAACCTAAGAACTGTAATGACAATCAGAGCATGAAAAAAACTCATTGATCATTGTTTTCAATGTAGAGGTGTCCTTACCAGAAAATGTGTCCTCTCAATGGGCTCAGCAAACAGACTCTAATGGGTGAATTGTCCAGAACACAAGCTTCTTCCTTGCTGCTGGATGATTGGGGTGTCACCTACAGAGATAGACGTTGGTGGGTAAAATATGCAAGAAAAAATTGCATAATAGAGCTTAGCAGATGGACAGAATTCCATGGATACTGCCAGGATACTGGCAGGAAAGAAAATAAATTACTGAAGCCTGAGCATCAGATAGGGAAATGAGTAGTTGAGGAGGTCTGGAAAAAAGAAACACTGACCTGTGTCCAGGGAAGATGTGATTTTCAAGTGTAAGAAGAAAAAGGTCCCCTTTTAGCTTGGCTGTGAGGAGGCCACTGCTACTCTGATAGTGCTTGTAGAAAGGAGACATTTCAATACACATGGGAGGAATGGAAAAGCAATTCAATGTAGAAAAATAGCAAAGTTTAGAAAACAACAGGAAGGAAGAGGCAGAAGGCTGATTATGTCAAGAGAGCCTTTTCTGAGGTCTGTACATATAGGAGCAAACAAAGGAAACAGAAAATAATAGCGGAGATGAAATGAGAGAGAAGTACAGAGAGATCAAAAATGGGAATTAGAGGACTGGATGAACAACTACATCAGCAAAGAGAAAGTGACACATCTGATGTGGGCTTTCTTAATAGCAGAACAAGAAGAAATTTTGAGAGGAAGAAAGGCTATGCAGGGCCTGCTCTGTGAATGAACATGGTCTGTAGTTAGAGATACTGGGATCAACAAAATTGAGGAGAATTCGGATGATTTTTGATAGGGAAAGGCTTTTCTTCATTTCTTGTCCAGTGTCTCAAATAATCCTTAAGACCAGGGAAAAGAGCAGCACAGATAGAGATGAATTGCTGCCTCCTGCAGCAGTGCTGAGCATCCTTTCTATCAGGACTATGAGGAGCAGCAGGCACTCAGCACCACTGGGAAAGAAGCCTCAAATCTTCTCTGCTCTGATCTGTTGATCTCCTCAGGACAAGACTGAGGAAATTGGTGAGATGAGGGACCATGGGCAGGTTATATACAGAGCCAGAACTGCACATGACCTGTGCTGAAATGAAATGCAAGTCTAGTAGGTAAGAGCCCCAGTAAAACTCCTTCCCCTCTGCAGAAATACCCTCCAAGTTAGCTTTAGCACTTAAGTACCATGGTTCCTGAATGCTACCTTTAAAGGTTAAAGCATATAAACTGTAAGAACAGCCAGGGGCAAAAAGAGTCCCGTTTCAATTTGATATGTTGAGGTCCTGCAAAAAGCCAGACTGGGGGGTCTCCGAGCTCTATGTCCTTTCCTTTCCTCCTGAACCAGAGATGGCCCCAAGGCCCAGGCTGGGCTGTGTTTCGCTATCCTTCTTCCTTTCTCTCCCTGTGTTGTAGTAAATTAGCCATTTCCAAAGGGCTCAAGCAGGGGAGGAAGTTCTCCATCCCTGACTTGCCTGCCGCAAAGGGCAGTTTTGCAGGAAGGAACTGAAAGTAGATCAGGAAAGACTGGTGCATGAAGAGAAGAGCTGCACTTCTCCCAAGGGTTCAAAGCTTGGTTGAGACAAACAACATCCCTCTGCCACCATGAGCAGGGACGAGTGGAACTGGTCCCAGTCACCATCACTGTCTTCTCAGGGGGAGCCCATCTGTCTTTCATGGTAGGTCACAGTACACCTGCCTTCCCTGGAGGGGTCAGAATCTGTCACAGCACACTGTGATCAACAAACAGGGGTTTTTTTTTTCCCTATTTCCTGACCTTTACCTTGTCCCTGTGCTTTGGGGCAGGTGCAGGCCTGGCTCCTGCTGTTTTACACCCAGGGCAGGGTAGTGCAGCCCTGTCGGTGTCACTGCAGCACCAACAGCAGGACGGTCCCGCTGCAGCGCGGCTGTTCCACTTGCAGAGACAGGAGAACACCCTGTGGACTTTACCCCACACTGTAATCCAAAGAGTACTCCTCAGTTTACTCTAACCCAAGCCTTCCTGCAAGCTGCTGCCTTTTGCAGTGTTATCTGCTGTGATAGCTGTGGTATTAATAGCAGGAACCCTCCTTGCAAGGAGCCGACTGCAGCTACAGCACGGCTCCCACTGTGCTCCTTGCTTGCACTGCTATCTCTGTGCAAGGAAACACTTCCAGCTTTACTCCACTGCTTACAGTTAATGGAGATCTCCATCCATTTATCCTGCCTCAGCATAAACAGTCCTGTCTGGAGTTGGTGCCTGCTGGAACTTCCTTGTGCTCAGAGATGTAAGTGAAGGTCTCCAGCACTTTCTAGGCAAGAGCAGGACTGTAGGTGACTACTGGGGAACAGAAGTGTCAAATCTTTATGGGAGCCCTGCCATAGAGAGGTCTTCTACAGTTGTGTTTCCCTCTTTTGAAGACATCTCTTTAAAAACCTCTACAGAAATAGGGAGGGGTTTGCAAGCGATCATTTAATAGATCTGAAAAGTCCAACTGCTTGGTAAAGTTCTTTCACCTTTAGTAAAACATGTTGGTACTGGAAGGCTGCCACGTGCTCTCCAGGGCTGTCCTTACAATGAGATGTTTTAGAATTGCTGCTGTTCAGGAAAGAAGAGTAGGTGTGTCTGACTAGGAAAGCTTTCTGAGGGTCTCTTTCAAGACTTGTTTTTCTTATGGGAGCAGAGAAAGGTCCAAGAGTCACTTCTCTGTTACCATGAGAGCTCACTCCTACTGTTGTAGCTGTGTGCAGCTGATGGGCAGGTGCCAGTCCTGGTGAGTCTCTCAGGAGGGAAGAACTCTGAATAATGCTGACTATTGGGTGCTTAAAAACAGACATTCTGGAATACAGGTTTTTTTTTGAGAAATGTTATCTTCACCAAGCAAAGCCTGTAAATTGTGTGTTTACCACACAAAATTTCACACCCAAGTCCTTTCCAGAGACCTTCTCTATCAGATATTTGTTATCTCCATCCTGCCCTCAGTGCATCCAGGGACTGTAGCTTTGCCAGGGAATTCTGAATTCCACAAGTTTCTGCTTCTGCTTATCTCCAGTCTAACACTTCCTAATATCATCATTCAGAACAAAATTTTACTGAGGTACTCTAATTTCCTTATCAGCCTTCATTTGATTTCAAAAATAGTTCTAAGTCATCAGAAATTCTGATCTATAGCACTGAGCTATCTCTACAAAGAGATCCCATGGAAGTATATTATAGACTTCTCATCAGATGTATTAAGGCATAGAAGCAACATTCAAAGATGATTGGAAAACTTAGGCATGGAGACATTTTTTCCAAATGACGGATGTGCAAAATCTTTTATTATGAATCTTGAGCCCCCAGAGAAAGGACTAGGTGGATGGCCAAAATGTCTTGCTAGCTGATGTAGAGAAAGTTCTAAAAACTAGTTCTAAAATTAGTTCTAAAAATTTCATATGTGAAGGTTAGAGTGGGAGGAACTTGACTTAGTTAAGTCAGAGAAAGATGTCTGATATCTAAATATAAATTAATTCTTCATCCTAAACAAAAAAAATAAAAACAATCAAAAAAACCCCATATAAAACCCCAAAAAATCACCACACCAAAACAAACAACCCCTCCAACCCAAAACAAAACCCTACAACCCTTCTAAGCACATGAAAATAGAATTGCACTTCTATATGAAGTGTGCAGTCTTATTCTGACCTCACTTTACAGCAGTGTGTGAATATAAAGTTCAGCAGAAGTTGATGAATTTACACCACTTAGTGTCCACTTGCAGGGTGTGCAAGTCTTGAACCGGAGCCCCAGCAGTGCGAGCTGTGCAGGCAGGAAGCTGCACCAAGCTGCTTTTGAGGAAATCACACTTTTTGGATAAATATCAGTCAGCTGCAAACATTTTTCTCTCCAGGATGTGTGTGCTTTTCTAATGTCAATATAAAAATGTGGTGCTAGGAATTGGGAATATAGTTTTCAGATATTTGATTACTCCAGCATTAAAGCAGCATGATAATATTAGTTGTAGCCTTTAACATGAACTTTGTTCTGTAACTTCCAGGCTTCAAAAACTAATGAGGAGTAAAATTGGGGGGAAAAATGTCTTCCGACAGGCTGGTCTTCAGCACCTTTTTAATGGATAACAGATTTGCCATCATCACACATCACTTGGAATATATTATGACAAGACACACAGGCTAATATAATGCATTGTCTACACAAGGCTACTATGTATTAGTGAATTTATCTTTAATTTGATACAGGATGGTTCAGTTCCAGTTACAGAAGCTTTCAAACTGTTATCCTGGAACAACCTAAACCCAGCGCAGGTACTCAGTGTAACCAAACAACATCAGGAGCTTTGTTACAGAAGTTGGAAAAAGGTTTCTTTGCTTACACGAAATTCAGAAGGAAAAGCGTGAAAAGAGTGTCTAACTTTCAGCACTTAGTAACAAGCTTTCAGGGAAGCCCGGGACACAGCCAGGCAATCAGAAACATCAGTTTTTCGCAGAACTGGGTTCTGTTCCAAGAGATACAGGTAGCTGACTGCACCCTGAGCTGGGCTTTTCTTCATTTTCAATATTCAGATGTGAATCTTGGATGGGTGTTTTCAAATCCTCCAGCTGTCTGAATGCTGGGGGCTTGGTGTTGTCACAGGTTTGGCTACTAGGGGAGTGCATAGAAAGTGCAAAAGTATTCAAAGTTCTTTCCCAGGGAAAGCAGGGTGATGAAAGAGATATAAACTTAAAAGCAAATATCTTGTCTTGTTTAAAGACTAGTGCATGCAAACCATTGTATATGTATAAAATAATTTTGATCAACAGAGGAAGATTGGAAGATGCGAGGGCACACAATGCAGCAGGCACAGCCATCTCCACTTGCTACAGTCAAGACTCCAAATGTTTTTTCCCTGGCTGTAAATGGCAGATCTGGAAGTCCATCTCTTGTCCTGGTTTTGCCTTTTCAGTCAAAAAAGTATAGGGCAGACTTAAAACATTTTTAAAAGTGTTCTTCAAACTTCCCCAGGCAGGTCGATGGATAGTTGGAACTGCAATGACTCAGGAGCATTGAGTCATATGCTGGCATTTTCCTCCTCCTCTCCACCTCTACAAACAATGATTTCTTCCTTCCTCTTGATTAGCTCTATAATATACTCAGATTATAAAGTGAACTCGATTTTCTGTCTCTTGTATTATCTGTAGTGTCTCATTAGTCTCAGTACCATCATAACCCTTCTCTGAATCATCATTTGTATATGGATGTTTGACATATCAGCTGATTGTCCCTTTTTCTCTTTCCTTCCCCATCTTTTCTGAAAGCCAATGAAGCCATTTCTGTCGATACTTAAATATCACAATTTTTCCTACTATCACTAATAGTATAATGGCATTATGAAGAGCCTTTCTGCAGTGCACTTTTGTGTGACGTAATGCAAACAAAATTGAATTCAATGAAAACATCATTAAATGTTACCCTCTTACAATTCATTTAAGAATGAGCAGGAAGTTTGGACATAGCAAATGTTGTTTTTCAGGGTCTAAACATTGAATGAAGTATTTTCAGGACAGCTTCAGTCAGGGTAGATTTAACATGGAGAAGGCACTGTAAAGTTTATATGCATATGAGCATAAAAAAGGCTTGAGAGCACAGAAAATAGCTGTCTGCGTGCCACTGAGACCCTTGTGTCATAGAATTAGTCCTGGTTTTCTTCTTTTCATAGGGTGAGGTGAGAATAATTTCCCTAAGACTTATAAACATTTCTCCAGATATATGCTAAAATGGGGTTCAATATCTCCTGCTTCAGTATATTGGACAGTCAAAGTAATTCTCCCTGTGAGCATTCTACTCTCTTGTGATGTAGTGTGAGATTCTTGCATGCATATTGCTTCCTTAATGTTTTCTTGGCACCCGTAGTCACAACCTGTTTTTCTCTTCTTCTGGAGACCTTTGTCCAGAGAGCTGCTACTTTTTAAAATCAAATAAATAAAGGCATTGTTACCTTTTCTTTAAAAAAAAAAAAAAAAACACCTCAGGATAACAAATTCTGACAGGTTTTTTAGTACTTGGTATCCACAGGAACTAGCACTGCTTTGCAAACATCCTCAGATTTTCAAGATCTTGTTCCACCAAATACAACCTGCATTTTTCTAATATTTTCCTTTGTTCAGCTTCCCTGTTGTCTCATTCCATGTGGTCTCACTTGAGTCTTGTTTTAACTATGATAAGTTCTTTTGTTTTCCTGTTCTATCTTATCTTCACAACCACATTTATTTTTCCTATGTAAAGCCAGGCAAAATGTCTTGGTGTTACAGTGCTGACGTAGGGGTGCCCAGAAAGCCAGAAAATGCTCCTCAAGAAACATGGCTTATAGATACCAGTGAGGGTGGGTGCTCACACAGCACTTTGCTGGCTTGGGGCTTTTCCTTGATGCAGTTTTGCAATGCATTTGAGCAATTATTTTGCTGAAGCAAAGGGACACTTATTTGCCAGGCTTTGCTCATTCTGTGATCTTCTGAAAAGGCATAGAATTAGGAACCATCTTAGGAAATTATAGCTCTTTCCTCTACAAGATAAGGAACCTGGAGTTCTGTTGGTATCCTTGATGGATTTGACTTCTGCAGGATTTTGTTCTTGCTGGCAAAAAAAAAAAAGTATCCCTAGTATTTCAGATTAGTTTAGGGGCTTAACTTAAGAGAAGTAGTGCTTGGTCTTGTCACCCTGCCTGGGAGTATTGCAAAAAGTCCTGCTGCTGCATTCCTGCTGCAAAGGTGCTGTGATGGCTCTGCCTGGGCTCTGCCCAGTGCTGGCAGGCAGTGCTAAGGCAGGAGAGCAGTGGCTGCAGTGTCAATGCTTGGGGAAGCAATGGGCACCTCTGCAGAAAAATTTACTGCCCAGCACCTGCCAGGCTCCCTTGTCCTCTGTATGTCCTGGGGAAAGGAAAAACATCGGAAAACAGGGAAGTGAAAGGTGACAACAAGCTCGTCTTTCCTTGCAAGGGTGTGAAAGCAGGTGCAGGCTTGAGGCTGTGCTTTTCCAAATGCAATAGTTTTGTCTGTGCATCCCCTGGCAAGCCGCTCACTGGGGACACCCCGGTTCTTATTTTTTTAATTAAGCACTAACATGTGGTTTTTACCTTGCACAGAAATTAGAAGTCTCCCTTTCTATCACTTGCTTTATTTTAGCTTTTAGAATGGGTGAAGATTTGTTTTCCTTTCTGGAGTAGTCACGCTGTTATGATGGAGAAGCTGAAGGGTCCAATTACCCTCCCCTTGATGCTGTTTGTAAAGCAATTAGAATTGGCAGCGTGTGATTAAAACCAAGAAGTTATCACTCCTTTCTTGAGGCAGGAGGGGTGACTGTTTGCAGTTGAATATGCACCAAATCTACAACAGGAATGATTTCCTTACCCAGTATGTAGCCCCCTCTCCTCTGTTACTGACTGCAGGTATTCAGCTGTATAGGTTTTTGCGCATGAATTAACACTTGTAGCTAATAGCAGTAAACTCACAAATGGACTATTACTTTTTATAGCCTTTTAGCAAAGTCAGCCTAGTGGAGCAAAACTGTTAACAAATTAAGATATGTTTGACAGGACTTCAAGCAGGAATCATAACCCAGGAGTCTCCGGTTAGAACATAAATGTAAAATTGTCTGTAGAATGAAGCTGTATATCAGCTGTTGTGTGGTGGCAAGTGCTAAACCACAAAATAAGAATTGAGACCAAGAGTTTATCTTGGAGAGATTTTCAGAGCAAGGAACTGACTTCCTGTAATGGTTGTAAAGAGCTTGTCATATTTGTAGTGCTACAGGATATAAAATAACAACAGTCATAGTAAAAATAAGTTGTATTTGTCTACTTATGACACTGTACATATTTTAGACATTGTATGATGGTGAGGAAATCTGATCTTCTGAGAGGAATGTCTTTAAACCATGGACAGAATATATTCGGCAGTGCAGATGCAGGGCTTTTGTGGGGTTTGTTACTTGAGCATAAACCAAACTGGAGTAAGAATGGCTGCAGGAACTATCAAATATGTTTAAAACAAGTCACCTTTTCCAGCAGACACCCTGCTACAGCCTAACAGGGTGTGGGATTTCTGGTGTGTGGCTTCAGCTCCATTGTTCTGTTTGTTCTTTTTTTTAATTGAGGGGGTGGATGTGGCTGCACAGAGGCTGTGTTTGCAGAACATCTGGATGAGCGCTGGTTCCTCTGGTGTGTGGGAGTTAACAGAGAGTAGCTGCCCACCTCAGAGCTTTCTGTCTCTCCTCTTCTGTGGCTTTCAACCCTGTCATTCTGCTTTTTATTATAGACTATCTCATATCTCTTACCTCATCAAGTCCCATCTCGAAGACAATCTTTTAGTCAGCTTCAACTTTTCCCTTATTTTGGAATAGGCTGATGGGGCTCTTGCATCTGGCATTGGTTCATTTTCTTCCTCACCTTTCCACTACTCAACACTTCATTTTATAAGGCAGAGATGCGACACGTGTCTTGAAGCCCCAGCATAAGCTGTACCCTACAGGGGGCTTTTCTCAGTGCATTCTTATTTTTGGGGCTTGTTGAATCTGTGCAGCATTGCATCATACAGCTGCATATGCTCCTATTGAGGAGTTCAGGAGAGCTCAGTCTGTCACCAGCTCCCCAGTGGCTATGCTTATTAGTAATTTAAAGCCAAAACTTAGACACATTCAGGCTGATTTTACTCCTCTTTCTCTGTCCTGAACCTTCACTTCCCACTAGGCTTGCTAAAACTTCATTCAACATAACTGAAGACTCATTCTCCTCTTAATACCTTGTGATATTCTGCTAAGAAGATCTAGTGTTTTCTTTCCAACATAATTATATTTTCCCAAGGTGTAAAATGTGTCTGCATCAATAGCTTATTAAAAGAGTGTAATAAAAACTATGACCCCCACAATTCTGCTATTAATAAAACAATTCCAAGCCAAGAAAGCTCCTTGATCCTTCTTATGCATCTGCTGGAACATGGTACAAGAGCAGAACACCATAAGCCAGTTTAATCCCTTCTTTTCACCCCCTAGCAATATACATTGGCCCAAGAGAGTAACATGAATTGAAAGTTTAATTTATTAATATGCAATAGTGATAATGTCAAAAGAACAATATATAAAGCCCACACAGAACAGGATTACACGGTACATAGGGGAAAGCCTAGAGCTAATATTTAATATAGCAAAACACAGCCAAAATAACTTCTCGTCCAAGGAGCAAAAGAGGGAGAGCTCTGCAGGTGCTGGAGCAGAGGAGCTGTGCAAGCAGTCTCTGCCTTCAAGTGCACAGCTGGACCCAGCCATCCATCCTCTGGCTGAGCTTCCTCTCTGCTGGGAGCCACAGAGATTGTGGTGCTTTTCCCAAGTGCCGAAAGTTGGGCAGTGACTGAAGCTCCCAGCTATCACTTTTCACTTTGACTACTTTAAAGTCTCTCACTACTCCAGTTTAACAGTGCACACCAGAATCAGAGCAGCAACACAGGTGGAGAGCAAGCCACAGCAAAAGGGGAGCCTCAGAGCTCAGAGCACTTCTGCGAGTGAAGCGTGAAACCAACTGTTCACTTTAGCTGAATTGTTCACTTAAGTTTGGATGAGCAAAGTTTCACCAGTAGGCAAAGTACCTTGCAGCCTTAGCAGAGAAGATTAACATGTGGCTTTGCCAGAAATGAGCAATATACCCAGGAGTCTCAAACCAGTAACAGTCGTGTGAGTGGAAAGCTGTTCAGCCTCTTAGGGACTGGCAGGTTTCACACACTTCCTAGAGTTTGCTTTCCTGCCCCTTCTCTAAAATGAACAAGGAAAGAAAGGACAAATGTGAAGGAATAAAATTCAGTACTTCTTCAGTATTATTGAGGGTTCAGTGTACAGCCAGGATAGCAGAACTCTTGGAGGACAAGTTGAGAGAGGGGTGATATGGGGAGCTCCCTGGCTTCCCTGCAGGTTTCCCACTCTGTCATGCATTTCTTGAGTGGTGGGATGAGGTACAAGCTGACCTCTATCCTGCCTGCTGCTTGGCACTGTCACCTCTCTGTACACACACACACACCAAAGAAATTGCAACAGCAAGTAAGTACCTGGTCAAAATATGGGACCTACTTGTCTCTGTTGATTGAAGAGTCTAGGTCTGGCAGCCAAGGCTCTCTTAGCTGTTGTGTCTGTAGATTCATCCCGTCTGATTCCTCTTTGAGTCTTCCACAGCTCTAATCTGCTTGCTGTCCTTCCCTTTGCTGGAGCTGATTGCTCCCTTCATGGCGTAGTCTGATTTAGAAGAGCCAGGTCAGCTCAGCAAAGCTCTGCTGCTTGAAACTAACTCGTCTCCTCTTGAATGCCACACAAGATGCTCAGCTCTTATACAGCAATAATTTCTAAAAGTCAGGAGGAGGCTGCAGAGATGAGAAATGAGGGCAAACCAGGAAACCTACCTCAGCTGAAACACCAGCAGCTGGGAAAGGCTGTGTGCCCACAGCCTGGCTCTGCTCCATGTTGTAGATCAGAGTCCACAAGCACAGCAGGAGAAAAAAAGCAGTTGGGGTTGCCCTGCCAGCCCCTTCCTGAGGAGGGATAGACAGAGGAGGATGTTTGTAGCAGCAGTTCTTGTATGAGTTTGTTGTCTCTAAAGTTTTCTCACTGGTGTTTTTCAAGTGCCAGAGCCTGGGCAGGTTAACACAGGTCACAGCTGCCCTGTGCGGAGGTGTCACGTCACGCTGCCTGGTTTTTATACATGGGCCTTCTGTGATTTATTTGCTGCTTCTTTCAAAAGCTTTATTTCTCTCTAGTTGGCTAAATTAATGTATTTGTAGTAGTTCGAAATGGGTGACTAACAGCAGGCTGGGCCCCTGGCTGAGCGGAGGAGGAGAGTTTTCCCCCTTCTGCCAGAAGAGAGGGGTCAGGAAGAGCCTTGTGTCTGTCTGGCCTCTGCAGACTTTCAGGGCCTTTGTGATATTCTCCTGCTTTCCTCCTGTGATTGCCATTGCTCTGCAATTTCCTGTACTGTCACAATTTTTTGTTTTTTAGCTTTATTTTCATGCTCATGAAATCTGTGACTATTTTACTTTGCTCAAAGTGTGATGTGTGTCAGGGGGTTTTATCAGCAATAGTTAGTGCATTGGACTGACACTTACCCAAGGGAAAACCAAGGCTCCAAGGAGGAGTTTTGCCCAGAAGTTTATATATAATATGTGGGGCAACACAGGACCAAGTCACTTGGAAGGCCAGCTGTGAATGCTGTGTTCATAGTAACGCAGTCCAGAGCAGGGTGAGAGGTCAGGCAGCACAGTTATGCCCAGCATCAGGCTTCTGGGCATAACTGGGTGAAGCTGTTGATAGACAGAAAGTAGGGTGGTTGTATCTGTTCCAGTGACCAGAGGAACAAGGAGCTGGAGACAGGTGAGTCTCACTGGCAAAGTGAGTTTTGTATCAGTGGGTCTCCTGGTTTCTTCTTCCTCCATCATTAGGTAAGGAAAAAAAAAATTGGTTTGCACAGTTTCTGTGGTTTTAAATATCTCATAGTATTGCATGAGTCAGATGTGGAGATATGATAGATGGGGTGAAAAAGAAATCTGTGAGACAGAAAATGAAGAAAAGTGCCATCCTGTTAGTACAAATGATTCTGCCCTGGGCTGAAGAGGGCAGGAGAGAATGACAGGCAAGTGCTCAACCAGAGTTGAAAGGCAAATCTGAACTAGAGGAAAAAGGAGGGAGTGATTCTTCAGTAAAGGAAAAAAATATTAAGATCTGACCTAGATACCAAGATCATTCCCATCCTGCCCCTCATTTGCTAGGTCAGGGGAGGTAATCAGGAGAACAAGACATCCGTAGGACTGCTACAAAATGCCTCCAAGGTTTTGAGCGTACATGAGGAGGCTCACCAGGAAACACAAGGTAGCTGTGCTGCACTACGTGTGAGCTTGAGTCTGCCTGGCTACTGGGTCAGGTTCAGGGGATCTAAACCTGTTCACTGTGTGTCCTCATTCCTCAGCTCCTCACAACACCAGGTAAAAGCTAAGAGGAGGAGGATGGTGCGTGTGGAACCACGGGTGACCGTTCTGTCAGCCTGCAAGTGAGAGGCTTTACTCAATGCTGGCTTAACAGCAGCACCTCAGCTCCCACCGTGCTCGGGATCTGACCTCCTCAGCTCTTTTCATGTGCTTTTCCCCTGCCCTGGGAAGGGTCAGCCTCTTGCTGTTGCTCATTTCAAAATAAGGGTGTGTAGCTCAGCTGAACAAAGTACCCTAATGACAAACTGCCAGTAGGTGATGAGTTTAAAAATATCGAGAGATATGATGAGAAACAGCAGAAAAATAGAACTAGGAGTAATAAAATGAGGCTGATAAAGGAAGAGTCACCTGAAAAGTCTCCTGGGAGGTCTGCTATGCTAGGCATGGCCTCTTGGATAAATGTGAGCCTTCCTATGAAACCATTTATGAATTATGTGAACTGTTTGCTTTTAAAAGCCTCGTAGCAGAGACCGTCATCCATATCAAGTCACCCATTAACTCTTAATATTTCCAGCCTCTTTTCTTTGCCTGTTGCCAGTACCCTGATTACAAGGCTTTCTTACACTGATGAGTTACCTACTCTTTTCTGGCCCAGCAAGGCTTGCTCTGTATGGAGCTTATCCACAAGAAATTAAAAAAATATTTATTGCTCAAAATTCAAACGGTTTTACTTGGTCTTTGCTATTATGTTTGTATCCTGAACTTGAGGGAAAAATTTAAATGTGCTCAAATTTACAGCTTAATTCTAGCTTAATTTTTAAAAGTGATTTGGATACCTCATTCATGGTGAATTCAACCCATTTGAATTTGGATCCATTTAAATTCTGGACAAGGCTTGGATCACATATACCTCTGGGCTTAGGTCTCTGATTGTAACTGAATCCAGGCCTTTGTTCTTAAACTGTCTGGTGTGAACTGTGAAGGGAAAACATGCACATGGACACTGTTGGTAAAACCTTTAGGTACTTGAGGGAGATCTATTTCAGTAATGTTAGGGTTTTTTCATGGAAAACATTTTACATTTGTTTTTCACTGGTCTTTAGAGACTGACAGTGAACACAAACCCCCTCACACATAACAGGAAAATAAACCTTTCATCTCCTTTTTTAAAAAAAACCATGACATGCAACACTCTTTACCATTCCAGAATTAGAGAAAACATTAATTCAATCCATTTAAGTGATGAATGCCCACAAAATGAAACCTTTTTTTTTTCTGGAATGATGACTTTGGGCAGATTAGAGCAGCTAGGTAAGAAATCCAGCAAGTATTTATCAAAGGCTCCGAAGACAGTGCAAACTCTAGTGAGTTCAAAAGCAAGAGACTTTCAGTCTTCGTACAACTGACAGGGTCATAACGTTTCAAGAATGCCAGGAATCCATGTGGCTGTTCCATTAAACACCCCTGATTAGTGAACGTGCTGATAAACTTAGAGAGTCAGAGGTCAACATTTCGGAGCCCAAGGTACCCCAGGTATCTGAAAAAGTCTCCAGAATTCCCGTGCCTCTCATCCAGTTAACCCCTTCCATCACTGCACCCATGGAGGCTTAAAAATGGGAAGAGAGGGTCTCACACACAGCATTTTCCAGACAATTCTGAAGAGATGTTGAGTTATTCTGAAAACTATCGAAAAATTATCTCAGGCACCTCCCGTGGAAGTGTTTATGACAGCTGGCTGTTCTTTGATTTCAGCTCAAGCTCAGAGTCAGTAAATGTGTAAAATCCTGTGTTGCACTGGCTCATCTGGCCTCTCTCGACTCCGGGTGATACCATGATGGCAGCAGGCTGTGCATTAAAACACCTCCAGAGTTATCACACTGCAAGCACGACAGTGGCTTCAAAATAGCCAGGAACAGTCACACCACCCTGTTGCTGCACTGAGCTCTCCGCTCTGCTCACGTTTTACAGCTCTTACTCCTGCCAAGTGCCTGTGGCCAGCAATTGGGAAATCTGTGAAAATATGGGCTGTGTGCCTGAGCAAAGCTTTTGCAGGACATTGGTTTAACTGCAGCACAATCAGGAGGGTCCCAGGAAGGCTGAATTATCCCAGCAGTTCCCCTGGGTGTTAGCCCATTTTCCAGGCAATTGCCCTAACTGGCAAGGCCCCTCCATGGACTTTGCTTCTACCTCAGTCTCCCAGGCAGAGATGCAGAGTTTAACTGGTCCTGCGATACACGGCTTTTCATTCCACCCGCTGATTATGAGCTGCTGGAGGCACTAAGCATTCGTGTCTGCTGAGGGCCACAGCGTGACCCCATCATTTTCTTTGAAAATCAATAGGAAAAATGTTGGAGAATGCAAAGGAAGGAGGAACAGTCAAAGTAAAGACAAGTGATGTCCTGTAATGGCTATAATGATTCTGAAACACACAAGGTCACAGATAATCAGGAATCTAATTCTCCTTTGAAAGAATCTGTCAAGTTACTTCCCTACCTCAAAAACAACTGCTGATTGATGTTATTTATGGGCTAACAAACTCATTAAAGGCAGTCTGAATGGAGGTTGTACAGCCTTTACTATGCAGGTGGAGTTCGGTAGCCTCAGCTGTAGGAAAAAAAACAAACCAGGTGAAGAGGTTTTCATTGTTGTAGTAAAACACATGGATAGGATGTGTTTCAAAAAGTGCCAACACTGCTGCAAGCCAAAGCCACAATGCAGCAGTTCTGTTAATCAAATTCTCAACGGTTTAGGCTTGAGAGATCTCCCCATTTAGCTGCTTCATCAGTTGTTCAGAATTATTGTGAAGTGGGGAGAAAAGACCCAGGAAGGATGGAGGTGCCTTAGGACTGGGCAGAAGTGTGCAGAGAGGTCAGGGCTGGGCAGGCACTGACATGAGCCTTAGAGAAGGAACCAATATTTGTGGCTCTTTCTCAGTGTAGATTGCAGGTAATACTTCAGGAAGAGGATGTTGAGCTCTGCAGGGCTGTATCTGGGGGGATTTTGAAGCCAGTTTGTACCAACATACACCCCAACATGCTGGCTACAGCTACAAAGCAGGACAGTCTGTATCTAACACTAAATGTCAGACCCCTTCCTCTCTGCCACAGTTCCACCCAGCTGCTTTTTGGTTTTATTTCAAATTGTAAAGAGCAAGGACAGAGATGTTTCCTGTAGGAATGAAGTAAAATGTTTAATTACAGGTGACTGGGTTGGTTGACAAGAGCTCTTTGCCCTGGACCGTGTGTGTGCTTGGAGCTGGAGGTGAGGGATCTATGGCATGGATCCAGATCCAAAACAACCTGCAAACAGTAGAGATGCAAGGCAAATCTGGACTTCAGCACAAGCGTGGATGTCAGGTCAAAATGCATAATGCAAAATCAACTCACAGCTCAAAGGCCAGGGCCACAAGCGGGGAAGTAACAATCCCACAGCTGAAAAATCTTGGGATTAGGCTAGACAGTAAAGTCAGCCAGGAGAGGGAAGAGGCCATATGAACCTCTCATGTAGGTATAAT